CTCTGCCTAGTTGTCAGAGCCTTGGAATCCCCTGCCTTAAGAGCCTGAACCAGCTTCAAGAACTTACAGGAGCCTCTTCTCTGAGTCTGACCTGTGATCAGCATTTGTACTGCCTTCGAGTACACCCTAAATCTATGGGTGTACAAGGGTGGCCGATTTGTGAATTGAGCTTTGGAGTATTGACTGTAGTGCCCACTCACAAATGTAAGATGTTCCTTCTGGAGGTAGAATCCAGCTGGGGGTGAGAAGAGAGGACTGGTCAGAGACTCGTGCTTGGGCCACATTTCCCGAGCTGCCACATTCCAGCCTGAAACTCCAAGTCATCCCAGAATTTATATTGGAACTTCATGTTCCAAGTCATGAAGACAGTATTTTAATTAGAATAGAACTATCTATTACAGGCTTGTAAATTTCAATGATAACACCTAACTCTTTAGACTTATGATCTGTGGCCTCCTGTATTCCAGCGCTGGTACCCACATGTGTAAGGGGCAACCTGGCATTGCATCATTAAATTAGTGTTCTCGTTACACAGACACAGAACAGGTAGTCAAAAATGTTATGAGCCTTATCAAAGAAGAGGCATAGGATCTTAGAATATGTATAGCAAGGGCAGGAAGTCAGCACATCTGCTTTTTCCTCTGCACAGATATGAGTTGTGCCAGGCCCCTGGTCAGACTCATGTCTTCACTGTGGGCATTCTTCAAGCCTCCTCTCCATCCAGGAAGGCTCCTGGCCGCCCAGTGTCTGAGGCCCCAGAGTCCTGCTCTTGCTTGCAAGAGTGGATTCCCTGAGTGGAATGAGCTTTTATTTCCATGTTTCTTTTACCTGTGTGTCCCAGGCGTCTGTTGCAGGGTCTGCCCTGTAGAATACATTGTTCGAATGTTGTGTGAGCTGCCCTCTCCTTTTCGGTGTACGGATATTGAACTCTACCTGAACTGAAGTGGTTCACAGTTTCAAAACAGCAAGCTAATAGAGCTCTTCTATTTTTCTAGCATGTCACCCTCATTTCCTGGACATCATGACCTCTTGAGTCAAGGTTTTCCTACCTTTTCTTGTCAACTAATAGAGTTGGACTCTAGTTAGGAACAACTTTGGGAAAGTGATGTGTCCTTGGTGAAGGTGATGAACACAAGTAGATCTGAAGTAGTGGATTCCATCACTTATTTAGTCATTCCAGGTAGAATATTACCATTTCTTATCATAAAGCCAGCAACCCCTGCCCTCTTCATATCATAATTGAATAGAAGACAAACTTATCATGGCATGTCTCACTATCAGAGCTTAGAGGTGATGGGGGCAGAAAGTCTAGTCATTTAGTGGTAGTTAATAATCTGCTGATTTCAGTTATCATTAAAGCCTAAGAAGGTTGCCTAACCATCTTACATTGACAGTCGGTGTCCTCCAAAAATTAACTTGGAATCACGCTGAGAATACATATAGATCCTTGCTTTATTTCTTCTGCTAAATTCTCAGATAATTTTACATTTCCTGCCAGGCCATTCCTTTTCATGCTGATAGTATTGAAAAGAATCAGGTAACATGGGGAAGCAATTAGTAACTCTTTTCCCTTCTTTGGTGAATTTTTTTTTCCTCCCAAGGCTCAGGCTATGTCATGATTAAAAGAAAGATAAAGCTGAACTCAATTCTGTGTGTTATGCTCATTGCTAGACACTATTAATAGGAAAATCACACAGACATTTGGAGGGTTCTAGGTCATTTGACCACACCCACTTACCAGGTGACTGTTCTCATCTGAGAACTTCTGTCTCAGTAACTTAGCTCACCCACCTGTTTCTCCATCATTCCTTTAATGAGAATACCCAGCTGTTCCAGGCAGCCAGTCTGAAAGCTTTCTGTCTAAAGCTTAAGAGAGCTAAATCTCAAACAACACACAATAAGATTGTTCTAAAGCTATTTGAGCTAATTTTACCTGGGGGTACAATTTTCCTCCAGTAAAGAGAGCCATATTTCAAGTTTAATTGTAATAAAATGTAATTAAGCCTTGATTTGCTGTTCCTCTTAAAAGATTCATTTCACCTAGAAATATATGACAGGGATGATCAATAGTAAACACTTCTTCCTTGCCTGATGAAAAGACCTTTCCCACTAGTACATTACAGTGCTTTAAATACTTAAAAATACCAAAAGAGACATCATTTCTCTAGATGGTGACCTTCAAGTGGTGTGCTATGATCCAAAAGTTGCAGAACTCACAGTTCAACTAAATAGCAGGTGTCTGACAGGTCCAGTCTCTGCTTATTTCTTTCCCATCTGCACCTTACATATCATTTCCGTCCAAGACTGAAGTACCTGTTTTTCTCTTGTGTACCAGGATTTCCCATTGGTTATTGCCGTTAAGGAAACTGCATTAATGTGCTGCTATTTGTGTATGTGTCTGCCACTGCCACTGCAGTAGTGTCCTTGAAAGCTCGATTTATATGTACATGTGTATTTCCTTGCACACACAAAAAATGATTTTATAATTATTCATAATTACTTATATTTTTACTTATATTTTGTAACCAAGTGAGTGTATGGATGGATGAATAAACAACTCAATTTCAGTAACTTCTATTAGGGGAAAAGGTGTAGGTAATAAAGGCCCAAAATTCAATAAGTATACTGACCACCTCTGATTTAGTCCTCAGAAAAACTCTGACTTAAGGAGTTTATACAAACTTAATATTGCCCACAGAACTATGTGTGTGTGTGTGTGTGTGCTCAGTCATGTCTGACTCTTTGCAACCCCATGGGCTATAGCCTGCCAGGCTCCTCTGTCCTTGGGATTTTCCAGGCAAGAATACTGAATTGGGTTGCCATTTTCTTCTGCAGAGGAGCTTTCTCACCCAGGGAATATACCCATGTCTCCTGCATTGGCAGGCAAATTATTTACCCATGAACCACCAAGGAAACCAATATAGTTGAATATAGACATTCATAAATCCATTTGTACTCTAATTTAGACAGCTTGCAGAACTTAAAAATATCATTGAATGTTTATTGTATAGTTTTCAAATTTTAAACTTAAATTATAGAAAGTATTTTAAAATGTTTTTTCATTGGAAAAACTCTTAATTTGTATATTTGTAGAGGTTTAGTTTTCAAAGCGTTTATAGTTCCTCTTTATGTTATTCATTACATTGTCATCTTGGAAAAAGAATTAGCATTGTAAAAATCCCCTAAATTGACTCCAAATTAGTTATCTAAGCATGAAATTCAAGTAAACATTTGCTTGTACCCTACTTGAGAAAAGATCTTGCACTGTATTCATCATTAATGGCTATAATATTCCCAACAAAGAAAATGCAGGTGATGTTGGCTTGATGTGCAGTGGATTTTGTCCTAGGATATGGACAGAAACAAGAACAAAAACTATTCAAAATGAATGAATAGCCCCACCTGCTTCAGAGCAGATGTACAAACTGGGACATATTGTGTGTGCAGCCATTGTTGTTTTAGCTAATTCCTTGGTCCTAAAGCATTAGATACATTTGACTTTCACTACTTCATAAATAATAAATAAATAAATGGATGGATAAATGATATTCAGATTGACTTGTTTTTTTGTTGTGCTCCAGATAAAGAAATTCAGAATATAAGAGAAATGGGCAACTGAAGGTCCTTACTTATACTTACCCTGAGCTAGAAAAGTTTATATAAACAGTTCTTAACAGTGTTTCTAAGTTGTGGTCTTTTAAAAAGCTATAATAAAAGTGATCCTAAACAATTTGTTCTTAGGATGCTAAACTCAGCAAATATCCATTAACACATACCATTTCCAAAGACATCATGCCAAAGGCAGGTGGTCATTGGACAGGCTGGATCAGAACCACCTGGGACACTTAAAGACAAAAATATTTCCAGACTTCTTTCTCATCTTCTTTCAAATGAGATGCTGTTTGAGTAGATCTGAAGTTATGCCATCAAATCTCTCTGTTCTCAAAGACATCCTTGGTTAGAAATCAGTTGAGAAGTGTAGTTGTCAACCAGGGGGACATGTCAATGTGTAAAGTCATTTTTGGTTTTCAAAACCAGGAGGGTACATGTGCTATTGGCATCTAATTGGCTTAGGCCAAGAATGTGGCTAAGTATCTTACTATGTGCAAGACAAACTTGTGTACCCATAAAATGAAATTATCTAATTTAAAATGTCACTGATGCCAAGTGTGAGACATGTTGGTCTAGAAAGTAAAGATATATCCTTTGAGTCCATAATTAGGGTGAATCAAAGAGGCACAAAATATCATTTGTTCATAATTGAGTAAAATGGCATTAGTCCAAAGACTCATAAAAATTAAGCAAACTCAAAAAAATGTTTTACCTTGAAATAAGTTCATGGTATGACTGCAGACAATTCCAGTTGAAAAAGTATGTGAGAAGCATTGAAGAGTTATCTGCAGTTGGTAGGATATCTGTAATGGGGATTAAATGGAGACATTATGCCTGTACTTGAAAAAATGATTAAAAAGTTCAACTGATCCTGAAATGTTAGTACGGGAAAAAAATGGTTTACTTGTAGAAAGGGAAATTTATTTTTAAATGCTGACTGACAAACATAGGACCATTTAAACATTAGTGCCATTTAAACAAGTTAACAAAAATCAAATCTATGAAAAATGCAAATGATATTTTTCATGGTTTGGTCCTTTTTCATCTTTGTATTGTTCTGTTATAGATTCTGTTTTCTATTTTTATACCATCTCTAGAGATCAAATGCTCACAAGCAGGACATACAGAAAATTACTGAACATTATTTTGGTTGCTGTCAGTGCAGGGTTTGGATTAATAATGAAACCAATTAAATTATCAAATACCTCCACTGGCAACAATAAACATTTAATTTCCAGAGAGAAATAAGATTAGCTATGTTGAACACCTTTTGCAATCACAGTGATAACAAAATTTTTCAAACATTGGGGAATTCTGCTACTTCGTCCAAGAATCAACAGCAGCTTGATTTAATTAAAATAGCAACAAAAGAATCTTTTTTTTTTTAGCTGTCTCATGCATCTCTGATAATAACCAGTCAGCAGAAATGACGGAATGCCTCAAGCAGATAAATGGCATGCCTCCCCTCGTGCAAGAATGTACAGTCCCATGTCGCGATGACTGCACCTTCACCGCTTGGTCCAAGTTTACACCCTGCTCCACGAATTGTGAAACAACTCGAAGTAGAAGGCGACAGCTCACAGGTAATTTGTGCATTTTATTCTTTAGCTTCAAGCAGGTGATGCTGTCCCAAACCTGTTGAGGAGAATGTCCATTCCAGAAGGATGGGAAATTATATCATCTCTCCCTCTCCCCCCACCCTCCCTGCAATTATGTATCTCCTAGGCATATGATTGACACACAATATGTACTCAATTAATACTTGTGAAATAAATGAAAGATATGAACCATTCCAAAGCTATGAAGTTCCTCTCTATATAGCCTTATAATTTTTGTAGTGATAAATGGCAGTATATCAACCAACTTCCTTGGAATAGTTAATGGCAGAGTTTCTGGTATTTTTCATGCCAGGATCTCAGCAAGCTTAAAAGAAGTACCTGATTTGTTAAAAGCATTAAAAACAGACCTCACCTATATCATTGTCTTTTGCCATTACCTTATTGTTGTGTTCAGTTGCTCAACCATGTCCTACTCTTTGCAGTCCCATGGACTGCAGCACGCCAGGTTTCCCTGTCCTTCACTATTTCCCAGAGTTTTCTCAAACACGTGTCCACTGAGTCAGTGATGCCATCCAACCATCTCATCCTCTGTTGTCTGCTTCTCCCACTGCCTTCAATCTTTCCCAGAGTCTTTACCATTACAAATAACTTGATATTTTAAAACTTTAGTAGTGGAAGGCAAAAATTGATTATATACATAGATTCTGCTTTTGTGCATGTGTGCTATGTTGCTTCAGTCATGTACAACTCTTTGTGACCTTATGGACTGTTGCCCACCAGGCTCCTCTTTCCAAGGAATTCTCCAGGCAATAATATGGCAGTGGGTTGCCATGCCCTTCTCCAGGGGATCTTCCTGACCCAGAGATCGAACCCACATTTCCTGTGTCTCCTGCATTGGCAGGCAGATTCTTTACCACTAGCACTTCCTGGTTGACAAGAAACTATTGTATCCCACCAAAAAAAGATACCCCATATCCAAGGGCAAATGAGAAGCCCCAGCAAAATGGTCGGAGGGGCGAAATCACATTTAGAATCAAACCCCATACCCACCAGAGATGCTTGGAGGGCTCAAACAAACCTTGTGTGCACCAGGACCCAGAGACGCCACAGAGACTGAGCCAGAACTGTATTTGAGTGTCTCCTAAGGAAGTATGAGTAAGCAGCGGCCTGCTGCGGGGGCGGGAGCTCTGGGTGTAGCAGACTTGGGTGTGGCATAAGCCCTCTTGGAAGAGGTCACCATTAACCCCACCATAGAGTAACCAGAACTTACACAGGATTGGGGAAACAGACTCTTGGAAGGCACAAAAAAAAAAACCTTGTGTCATTACCTCCACCATACTTTGGCCTCAGGTCAAACAACAGGGAGGGAACACAACCCTGCCCATCAACAGAAAATTGGATTAAAGATTTACTGAGCATGGCCCCGCCCATCAGCAAAAGACCCAGTTTCCCTCTCAGTCAGTCTCTCCAATCAGGAAACTTCCATAAGCCTCTTATCCTTATCCATCAGAAGGCAGACAGAATGAAAACCACAATCAAAGTAAACTAACCAAACTGATCACATGGACCACAGCCTTGTCTAACTCAATAAAACTATGAGCCATGCCAGGTAGGGCCACTCAAGACAGATGGGTCATGGTGGAGAATTCTGACAAAATATGGTTTGCTGGAGAAGGGAATGGCAAATAACTTCAGTATTCTTGCCTTGAGAACCCCATGAACAGTATGAAAAGGCAAAAGGATAGGACACTGAAAGATGAACCCCCCCCCCCCCGGGTCTATAGGTTCCTACTATGCTACTGGAGATCAGTGGAGAAATAACTCCAGAAAGAATGAAGGGATGGAGCTGAAGAAAAAACAACACCCAGTTGTGGATATGACTGGTGATGGAAGTAAAGTCTGATGGGGTAAAGAGAAATATTGAATAGAAACCTGTAATGTTAGTTCCATTGAAGTGGTCAAACAGGAGATGGTAAGAGTGAACATCAACATTTTAAGAATCGGTGAACTAAAATGGACTGGAAAGGGTGAATTTAACTGAGATGACCATTATATATATATTACTGTGAGCAAGAATCCCTTAGAAGAAATGGAGTAGATGACATAGTCAACAAAAGAGTCCAAAACGAAATACTTGGATGCAATCTCAAAAATGATGGAATGATCTCTGTTCATTTCCAAGGCAAACCATTCAATATCACAGAAATCCTAGTCTATGCCCCAACCAGAAATGCTGAAGAAGCTGAAGTTGAAGCGTTCTATGAAGACCTACAAGACCTTCTGAATTAACACCCAAAAAAGATGTCCTTTTCATTATAGGGGACTGGAATGCAAAAGTAGAGAGTCAGGAGATATCTGAAGTAACAGGCAAATTTGTCCTTGGAGTACAAAAGGAAGCAGGGTAAAGGCTAATAGAGTTTTGCCAAGAGAACGCACTTGTCAGAGCAAACACCCTCTTCCAACAACACAAGAGAAGACTCTACACATTGGCATCACCAGATGGCCAATACTGTAATCAGATTGATTATATTCTTTGCAACCAAAGAATGAGAAGCTCTATACAAGTCAGCAAAAATAAAGACCAGGAGCTGACTGTAGCTCAGATCATGAACTCCTTATTGTCAAATTCAGACTTAAATTTAAGAAAGTAGGGAAAGTCACCAGACCATTCAGATATGACCTAAATCAAATCCCTTATGATTATACAGTGGAAGTGACAAATAGATTCAAGAGACTGATAGACAGAGTGCCTAAAGAACTATGGATGAAGGTTTGTAACATTGTACAGGAGACAGTGATCAAAACCATCCCCAAGAAAAAGAAATATGAAAAGGCAAAATGGTTATCTGAGGAGGTCTTACAAATAGCTGTGAAAAGAAGAGAAGCTAAAGGCAAAGGGGAAAAGGAAAGATATGCATTTGAATGCAGAGTTCCAAAGAATAGCAAGGAGAGATAAGAAAGCCTTCCTCAGTGATCAATGCAAAGAAACAGAGCAAAACAATAGAATGGAAAAGACTTGAGATCTCTTCAGGAAAATTAGAGATACCAATGGAACATTTCATACAGAGATGGACACAATAAAGGACAGAAATGGTATAGACCTAACAAAAGCAGAAGATATTAAGAAGAGGTGGAAGAATACACAGAACTATACAGAAAAGATCTTCATGACCCAGATAACCATGATGGTGTGATCACTCACCTAGAGCCAGGAATCCTGGAATGCAAAGTCAAGTGGACCTTAGGAAACATCAGTACAAACAAAGCTAGTGGAGGTGATGGAATGCCAGTTGAGCCATTTCAAATCCTAAAAGATGATGCTGTGAAGGTGCTGCACTCAATATGCCAGCAAATTTGGAAAACTCAGCAGTGGCCACAGGACTGGAAAAGGTTAGTTTTCATTCCAATCCCAAAGAAAGGCAAGGCCAAAGAATGTTCAAACTACCACACAATTGTACTCATCTGATACACTAGCAAAGTAATGCTCAAAATTCTCCAAGCCAGGCTTCAATAGTACGTGAACCGTGAACTACCAGATGATCAAGCTGGATTTAGAAAATGCAGAGGAACCAGATACCAAATTACCAACATCCTTTGGATCATCAAAAAAACAAGAGCATTCCAGAAAAATCATCTACTTTTGCTTAATGATGGTGACAAAGGCTTTGACTGTGTGGATCACAACAAAATGTGGAAAATTCTGAAAGAGATGGGAATACCAGACCACCTGACCTGCCTCCTGAAAAATTGGTATGCAGATCAAGAAGTAACATTTCGAACTGGGCATGGAACAACAGATTGGTTCCAAATCAGGAAAGGAGTGTGTCAAAGCTGCATATTGTCACCCTGCTTATTTAACTTATATGCAGAGTACCTTATGCAAAATGCCAGGCTGGATGAAGCACAAGCTGGAATCAAGATTGCTGGGAGAAATATCAGTACCCTCAGATATGCAGATGACACCACTCTTATGGCAGAAATTAAGAATGAAAGAGCCTCTTGATGAAAGTGAAAGAGGAGAGTGAAAAAGTTGGCTTTAAACTCAGCATTCAGAAAACTAAGATCATGGCATCCAGTCCAATCATTTCATGGCAAATAGATGGGGAAACAATGGAAATGGTGATAGACTTTATTTTCTTGGGCTCCAGAATCACTGCAGATGGTGACTCCAGCCATGAAATTAAAAGATGCTTGTTACTTGTGGAAGAAAAGCTATGACCAACCTAGACAGCATATTAAAAAGCAGAGCCATTACTTTGCCAACAAAGGTCTGTCTTGTCAAAGCTGTGGTTTTTCCAGTAGTCATGTACGGATGTGAGAGCTGCACTATAAAGAAAGCTGAGCACTGAAGAATTGATGCTTTTGAACTGTGGTGTTGGACAAGACTCTTGAGAGTCCTTCGGACTGCGTGGAGAACCAACTAGTCTATCCTAAAGAAATCAGTCCTGAATATTCATTGGAAGGTGAAACATTCATTGAAGCTGAAACTCCAATACTTTGGCCACCTGATGTGAAGAACTGACTCACTAGAAAAGACCCTGATGTTGGGAAAGCTTGAAGGCAGGAAGAGAAGGGGATGACAGAGGATGAGATGCTTGGATGGCATCACCAACTCGATGTTTGAGTAAGTTTGAGTAAGCTCCGAGAGTTGGTGATGGACAGGGAAGCCTGGCATGCTGCAGTCCATGGGGTCAGAAAGAGTCAGACACGACAGAGTGACTGAACAGAACTGAGTACCACCTGGGAAGCCCACATATAGATAGATAGATACATACATACATAGATACATACGTAGATTCTGCTTTTGTGGTATATGCTTGTTATTGGTTCAATTTACTTCTTTGAAATTTAATGGAAACTAAAAAGTAGTTTAATCAAGGTCTTAGAGCAGTTTTTGCTATAATATACAAATAATTGACATTGTAATATATCTAACTTCTTATCTAGATAAATACTCCAGAACTTCTCTTCATTGTTGTTTTTTTCACATAGGCAAAATAAGCTTAATTCATGAAAGGAGAACC